AAAAGGGATCAAGTTTATATTATTGTGACATCTTCTGAAGATTTGTCAGAACAAAAATATGAAGTTTGGAAGACGGGCTTGCGATGAGAGCAATTAGAGACTGCAATACAACCTTCAGTTGAAGATGATTTGCCTCAATCAACACAGATTGTATCTAGTTAAACAAATTATGAGTATCAAGATTGTTTGATGGATCATAATAAATTATTTACCTTGGAGCTTCATTCATGAAAGATTCTTGCCACTGAATCAGTTGACTAATGTCAATCCAAGATTTGAAAGGCAGGTTATGATGATGGTGATGATTTGTGAGAGTGATACCATTAGTCTGATTGATTTCATTAGATTGGTTTTCATCGATCATGATGATGATGATGATGAGGTCATGTATATATGCAGTGTGATCAACCAGGTTCAATGTTTGATGGGAAGATTGGTTTTCGAGTAGTCTTTCTTGGTCTTTTGTGTTATATTTTGATCAATCGACTTGTTTTGTTATAAATTTAAATTATCACTTTGTCAAATATGCTCGTATGCTGTGAAATGCTTTGAAAGGTAGCGCCATTCCTGGAAGTGGAGGGATCAAGGAGTTATAACAGTGAGAATGTATAACATTGGTTTCTAATGTTTTGATGTTCATTCAATTTGATTTGAGTTAAATGGCTTAAGATCCATCGGAGAGTGGTCGAGAAGAGTACGGATCTTCTATTGTAAGATCCAACACTTTTCTTCTAAAGGATGTTCTAGAAATAAAGTAGAACCATTCCAATCCGTCGGATCGATTTCAGATAGACGTCCCGACTCATCAAAAGGTATTATTCAGATCTTGTGATATCAGAGCTTCGGATCTATTGATTGCTATCATTTTCAAATATGGGTAAGATATATATCAACATCACGTTTCTTGAAATCAACACTTGATAGAATAACGATAAAGACCTTTTGGGCATTGGGCTACGTGATTGTTTCGATCGGCTTGAACTTGTCCAATCCAAGGAAGCCAGAAACTTGTGAGGTCTGTATCCAGAAAACATGTTAGAAACATATGAGCACTGGGAAAATGCATTCAATTTGTTCAAACCATCCTCAGTTGTTGGGTATATTATAGGCTAGACTGATTGATTGGTCGGGTAGGTTGAGTGAAAGCTGATCCTAGGAATCAAGAATTGGAGTAAAACAAAAGTCAATATGATATCAGAGAAACATCGAGTAAAGATCAACTCACTAAGAGATCTCAAAATCAGTACAATTTTGTCCAGACCTTCAAATCTATGATCTTGAAAAGGTATCAAGTTGATTAATTCAAAGTAGGTGTTTCTAACCAAATAATTGATAGCATGATGTGATCAGGAAACAAAATCAAAAAGACTGAACAAACAGACAGTCCTCCATACAAAAGCTAGACATGAACGGACGAAAAGCTATGTTTCTAAAAATGCGCTTGAGAAGAAGAGTTTGGGGTGATTGGGCCTAAAACAAATAATGAGAGAATAATCAACAAAAAATTAGTCAGTAATCCCAAACAACAGCTGTGAGACAAAGTGGAAAGATGAAAAGAATAGCTTTCAGCAAAACAGTTGAAATCAGGAAAGTCTTGAACAGATTGTCTTGTCAGTTGAATGAGCCAACTGCGGAATTAAATTGTTGGGCGGGGTGAAGCATATTAATAGGATTAAATGCATACGGCTGAAATGTGGCGAGCGAGCGTACACATGGTGGTCCTTGGCCATCAACTGGGAGCAGTGTGATGTTCAGCTGAGCCAAGATAGGGTGCTCCGAAAAGGTGTATGTAGGCCTTTAGGGGCTATTAATTAAGAGGAGGCTTGGTTGGCTCAACAATCAGGCGAGTGCAGATTAGCGCATAGATGATTGCATTTGAAAATGAATCATGATGGCAAATGTGAATTGATCTGCAGTGAAGGGTTTCTGCCATGATCAAAACTTGGAATTCACGCTAATGGTGGATTTTGTCAGGTT